AGGACTCCCTCTATGAGCATTTCATTCCTATAATAGCTCAGTGGTCTTTCTATTCAAGCGAAAAGAGTGTGTGTAGATATCGGTTTGTGTATGTGTGTGTGCAAGAGCTAAAGGAGCTATGCTTAACATTTTCAAGTGTTGTTTAGTTACTCTCTGTCAACAAATGATACAACACAAAAGCAATTCAGACAACTAGAGGCTTAGAAATGTGTTTCCAAGGAGACATTTTTTGTACCACAGATATAGCAGCAACAGCAACTTTGTTTAAATAAACAGAGAAAGTGCTGTATGGTTAGCGTTAGCAGCAACCTATCTCTAACAGTGAAGAATGAGTGCCGCCAACAGAAATTCAGACTCAAAGTTCAGTGAAAAGGATGCCAAGGTCTCTCAAGTGCAACTTAGAAATTCTACAGCAGTTAGAACCTTGGATGAAAAGGTTTTGCTCAAATAAACATTAATGATCTCAAGGATGAAGCAGACAGACAGAGATACAGGCCTTTAAGACATGAAAGTAAAATAAAATTAAGGGAAGCAATTTCGCTCATTCACAATTTTTTTAAAAATGAAGAGAACATGACAAGATTTTACATTTGTCCTGTTTCTTCTGTTTCACAACATTTAAATTACTGTCCTCACTCAAGTGGAAACTGTCAAAACAACATGCAGTGAGTTTGTATAGTGAAAAATCTGAGACACACACACACACATATACGTAAATACACTAAATGCAAAGTTGTCATCTTTTCCCTTTGGTAAATACTGGAAAACACACACATGTGAGTTCCTAAGAGTGCTGAGAGCCTGGGCTTTAAGAGCTTCGAATTCCTTACACCTTGCAACTCATTCACTTAAAACATTTTCAGCGTGCTTCACTTCAAATATTCCAACCGTTGTATGGTGGCAGAGACAGCAAGAAACATAAAAACTTGTCATTTTTCAGGCTGCGAGACTGGAGAGGCAGAAAAGGTGAACGAAACAAAGAGACAGAGGGAGAGAGGAAAGAGAGGATGAGTCAGACTGTAAACACTTGGTTGGGGTGATGTTATCCAGCTGCCATGAAAACTGATCTAGTGGCTGGCAAGTTCAAGCTGACCGCCATGTCGCGCACACACACACACACACACACACACACACACACACACACACACACACACACACACACACACACACACACACACACACACACACACACACACACACACACACAGAAACACAGCTGTACATTTGTTATGACACACTTTAAACACACACACATGCATGTATATATCACCCCAAACACACATACGCAAGGAAGCTGAGGTTGGATAGAGGTCGTGTTTGGGGGTGAGTGAAGAGGCGACAAGCTGGGGGGGTTTACCGGATCAAGGCAAAATATTCAAACCTTCAGCACACGCACACACAGACGCACAAAGTGAAAAGCTACAGAGGCTTGAAATCAATCTTCCACACCTCGAACTGAGGCAGTCGGGGATCTCCCGCCGCACATGCACACACACTGGTATACCAGCCCAGAGAGCAGTGTCCACCCTGCCTGCTGAGGCAGCACCTTAAACGACCTCATTTGTACTTATTTCAGTAGGGTGAATGAGTTAATGAGCAGTGTCACGAAGTGTAACTGTTGTTCCAGTAGTAGCTTTTCCACATCGACTTAACAGAAAACACTCAAACACAGCCAACAGCTGCAGCTCCAGCAGAGCCCAGGGATTGAAAAGTAAACAAATCACAAAGAAGCTTAATGTCCAAGGACATGAAATGTTTTATGCAAGTTAAAGAAGTTCTAACATGCTGAAATGTTGTTTTTGTTTACCTTTTCTATTTGAAAATGCTCTCGAAAGTGGATACATTTGATAATAGTGGCCTTTTGTTGTACAGTAGGGGAAAGTCTTTTTTAAATGTAATAATGTACAGCTGGGGTGGCCAACAAGGAGCAAGTAGAGTTAATAGTGTGCAGGGTTTCATTCCAACTAGTGATCTCAGCAGGTGAGTTCATTGATAAGCTCTTCCCCTTTTGGCTACTTGAAAGAGGGGGAACAGTGGGAGAAATCTTTGGTTGTAGTGAAACTCTGCAGACTGTTGTAGATATATAAATGAATTCAGTTCAATGTTATTTGTGCATTGCAAAATCATAACAGAGGTTATCTCAGGACACTTCTAATTTCTTCTTTCTGTCTAAAGCATAGTGTACTCCTTATGAAGTTATTTAGAGAGACCCAATATTTCTCACCATGAGCAAGCACTTAACAACACTCACAAGAGGCAGAAACCTTGAGCAAACCCTGACGCCGGCTCCCACATAGTGGGCCGCCATTGATGTACAGACTGATGGTAATGTTTGCATACAGGGTTAGGTACTAAACCACAGCTGCAACATTAAAGGAGCAAATCAACATTATTTGGTTGTTGCAAGAGTTAGATGAGGAGATGGAGGTAGTATTTTGTGGATTATGTCACCTTTAGGCAGAACCAGCCTAGCTGTCTGTTTCCAGTCTTTATGCTGGCTCCAGCTACATACTTACTGTGCAGACATGAGAACAGTATCTTTCTTTTTGTGTAACTTTCAACAAGAAAGAAAAATAAACAAATTTTTGAAAATGTCAAACTATGCCTTCAGAAAAAAATAAAATAAAAATTGTCACCTCAAACTTTCTTTTTTGCAGAGCACAAAATAGCGATTTATCACAAGTGTCATTAGAGCAGTTAGCCCCAGTTAATACGTAACATTAATGATGAAATCGCTATTATATTTGTACAGCTGTCTGAAAAACAAAAAGGTACTGTATGTTCATGACAACTGTGTTTGCATTAACACAAAAAATTGATGACAGAGAATATTGAATTTCTGTTTTTCTGGCGATTCATCTCAAACAACAAGCTTTTAGAATATGATCTGAAAACGCTCTCTGTACTGCTGCTTCTCTCTGTGTTATTCAGTCTCTCCCGATTGCCCCCTCCTCTTCTATAGAATGGAAGTGAAACAATCAGTACGTTCCTGAACACTGATCAGCTTCAAGCTGAAATGTAAAGCTAACAAGCTGTGAAAACCCTCGCTCTTGCCTCACCTCCTTGCCTCGGAGCAGACCAAGCCTCCCACAGCCACGCCTCTGCTGCAATGTTCTATCTTAACAGGGTGCTTAATAAAATTCATGATGCTATTACCTGGAAAAATAACTTAAAAGAAAAACCTCCCCATCTATCTCGCTTTTGCCCGAGGCCCTTGACAGAAGTCTTTGAAGACGCATGTAAATTCAACTTTAAACATTCTCCATCTTTAATTCAAAGGACTAATATTGAGACTCTGAGATGTTACAAAATGATGTAGTCAAACTGCTCAAAATAAGTCTTTGAAATGAATCGAGCAGTACTTCGCTGGAGAGGGAAGCGATGGAGGGGCAAAAAATAAGGGAGGGTAAAAGTGTTGAGTGAAAGGGAGAGACTGATTGAGACCATGATGGTGTTCGAGAAGGAACAACAGTAACTGAAAAGAGAGATAAAATGTAAAATTTTCCTTAAACAGTCTCTGATGTTCTTTACGCTGGATTCTTATCCCACTCTGCCCACCTCAGTACATCAGAGCCCAACGCCACTGCAGCAGCCTAATTAGTAGAGTACTATGGCTGCTGGTCCGATGAGGGCCTGTGTTTCATCAGTCTCTGAAACCCCATTAACCTTTTGGACAGGCTGGTGCTTTGATATCTCAGCTGTTTACAGCTCCCCTCTACTTTCTAAAAGCGTTATGTTTCAGGTGCTTGGCTGACTGCACGGACTAAATATAGGCACTATGTAAGATTTCCCTGGAAAGGGACACACTCTAGGGGCAGGGGGTCTGCTCTGTGTGTGTGGTGTGTGTGTGTGTCTTCTTGTATTCCCAGGCTTATGAGGACCAAATGTACTTAGAAGGTGATGCAGAAAGCCCTTTACAAAGGAGACATTCACTTACATAAGTCATTTACGGACAGGATTTTGGTTAAGGGTTGAAACTATAATTAAAATGTGTCTAAAATGTGGTTCAGAGTTAGTTAAGATTACATTTACTAAGGTTGTTTCAGGTTGTAAAATGTACTTGTGCATGTATATTTGTATGTATGTGTGTAAATGGTCTATTAAGAGTTATGTACCCATCATTTGTGATGTCAACTAAAGCCCCAAGCTGCTGAATGAACTCTTTAAAAACTTCTCTTTATTTATTAACACTGGAACTGAACCCATCACTGACTCCTAATACAATGTTGTGATCGCTTCTACGAGCCAGCCAGCCTGATTTTAAGCACGTATCACTGCAGAAACAATCCAGCCGGACTAAAAGATATGAATCATCTAAACTTCAAGTACAGTTTGATTCCCCTCAGTGCAAGATATGGCATAAAAACACTCAAATCAGTAACTAAATAATAGAAAGGTGATTTGGGGTGCAGCAGTTCATGCTGTTGTTGAACCGTACAGCATTATTTAAGGAGGTTAGGCTAAATAGCAGAAACTCCGGTCAGTTTTATCTTGTAACTTTAGGCTGCATTTCATTTATTCTTTGCAGTTTAGTCAGTCATATTATCACCATCACAGTGTGATAAAACAAGGAAACAGACCTTAGACTGTAGTGTCACAAGAAAAACCATCCAGCAGCCTGACCCCAACACAAATTCTACAGTACATGTAAACTATTACAATGTTTCAATCAGTCATTCCTGTTTCTATGCATCCACACTGTACATATGAGTACTGCACCACTTTCCATGTAACTATAAATATATATGTGTGATGACAGATATGACATGGCTGTATGTTAGGGTTTGGTTTACAGGTTCATTTGAGCAAGGCTGAGGGTGTATGTGTGTGTGTGTGTGTGTGTGTGTGTGTGTGTGTGTGTGTGTGTGTGTGTGTGAATACATTTTGGATGGTCTGTTTATGGGTAAAGACTTGGTTTTAGAGTTAAAATTAGGATTGGGGGTTAGGGTTAGTGAGTACAAGCACATATGTGTTTGTGTCTGGTTAAATGAAAGTTTTACCTGTGCCTTTGTTGCGGTCCACGAAGCAGTACTTCAGTTCATATTCTTTCAGAATTTCATGGACTTCCTATAAAGAGACAGAAAGAGAGAGAAACACACAAGACTTGAGCCAAGACATCATCAACATGGTGGTTCAAAAGTTCGTCTGACCTACTATCATTTAGCTAATCTACCATGTGTTTAATCAATTAAAATTGTTCAATTAATTATTTAGTCTAAAATTGGTCAAGAATAATGCCCGTTACAAGTTATCAGAGTGTTCAAATTGCCTTTAAATTGCCTATTTTGTGTGACCAAAATTAAAGAATGACAGAATTTCAAAATCTGTCAACAGCACTTTTTGGTAAGTTTATGTGATTATTCTGAACAGCTATCAAATGTGTCAGTTAATTTGCAATTAATCAGGTCATCTGTTAAATCAGTGAAACATTTTCGCAAAAGACAAAATCTATTACTTTTACCAAAAAAGGAATGTGCAATTATATACGGTCAGTGAACACAACTCAGCAGTAATTGTCAGGGGTAGTCACAGAGAGCCATCTCATAATAGTACTACAGCCAGGCAGTTATTATGAACAAACCAACTCCTTTAAATAACACGAGTATTCAAATAGTCACTATAACTTGAATTTAGATCATTCTTAAAATGTTTGCTCATTACGCTTATGAAACCGTATTTTTTTACACTTGAGCAAACTCTTTTCCTTCATGATAAACTCTTTGATGGTAGACTTCCCCAATTGCAGTAATTTGTCTCTAACGGGTAATTATGTTTTTTAAAAAAGTGTATTCTTAAGATGAAAAGCTTTCGGTCTCCTGTCAGGTTTATAATCACAGCAGCCCACCACACTGCACTCAAATCCACATGAGGGACAGACACACACACACACACACACACACACACACACACACACACACACACACACACACACACACACACAGAGAGACACACACACACACAGAGACACACACACACACACACACACACACACACACAGCTGCATATCAAAGTAATAAATCTGGAATATATTTTTTAAAGTAGAGCGTAGTCCACTCTGCTGAAGAAATGTGTTATATTGTCTCTCTAGTGACAGCATGTGATAAAGTGAGACAGGAAAGGGAGCAAAGAGACATATGCAATAGCACAGCAAGAGAACCTCACACCCTGTCTGAGTGTTATGAACTCTGCCGCACGCTGCTAACTGCCTGCTAGCATTGGTACCTTCCTGATGGGTTTCACTTTTACGTAGACACACAGAGTCTCTACTGCACACAAGTAAGTGACAGCACAAACTGTTCAGAACTTGACAACAAGTGTTGTTTTTTTTAAGATATGCTCCTGTGAAATGAGCAACCTTATGGATCCAGTCACAGTCAAACCTGTCCAAGAGCACAACGGTTCCAGATCGAACAGGAACTCTGCATAGGCGGAACGACGGAACAGGGAGCAACAAAACAAACAACAGCACTAAAACATCCTGCGAGACACGCTCTAAACTCTGCAGCAGTGGAAAGGTCACTTCAGCATAAAGCAATTATTGTTCAACCAGAGACAAGATGTAATGGCAAGTCAGCAGATGCACATCAGGTAGGGGAAAGTCCTGTTGTCCCTAAAAATGGCCCCTATGACACGGATAAGAAACAGTGTCTGGGACATTTCTGGGACAGTAGAGAAATGTATCAATACAAATTAAATTATTACGTTTGTGCATCATATAATATCATCATCAATAATGTGAGGTGGCTCTAACATGATCATTGAGTCAGAGTGAGAACTTTCTCGCATTAAGTGACTTTTCAGACCATCAGGGAAAATAGTTAGAAATAAACAAGAAAGTGTTTTATGCCCAGATGCAGACATACTGAGTTCACCTTGATAATGTATATATGATGGGACAAGATCCTTTGCACCTTTTCTCTCATTATGTATTATTAAAATCATAATATTTTATTAAAACCTTTGAAATAAAATTTAAAAAATTAAATCTGCAAGAGCTGGTTTTCAGGCAAACAGAAAGGCTTTATAAATGGATGTGACAATAAATAAATAAATAAATAAACAAAAACCCACATTCTTCCAAGAACTGATTGGCATTTGGGAGGATGCAGCTCTTTTAATGATGCCCAGATCCTGTGCTTTTATTCACTGTCAGCTAATGCTGGACATGTTTTATGCTTCATTCATGCATCCATTCAAAAGATGAAAACAAAGAAATGCACTTTGCATTGTTCTAATTCACCAACTCACAGTGATACAATGATCACCTTTTTATGTGAGAGTGAAAGCAGGTTTGACATTTCCGAGAGGTTGTGTGGACGGAAAAAAAACCCATTCCCATTTATTGCATCATTTATATACAGACTAAATAAAATAAATCTACCTCAAGTGGTCATACGACGACTGCGGTCATGAGGATTTCTAATACGTACATTTTTCTCTTTTTCCTATCTCTCTTACCACCATCCAGCCCACTCATGTACACCATGAGCAGGCATGTTCCTTATCAGTGAAGGCCATGCAAGGCAGCCCACACAGAGGGTCAGCTCGCTCGCCCTTAAATCAGAGCTGAGCGAGCTGTAATCGCTGAGGGGGACACAGAAAGAGAGAGGGAAACGGAAAAGAGTTGTTTTGGATTTGTGCTCCGTATCTATCTAACAGCCTGAAACCAAATGAAAGAAATTAAATCTTCATTTTATCATCAGTTGTCTGTTATAAAGTCCTTACCTTCTTCTCTTAAAGCAAGTGAAAAATATTTGCAAGAGGAATATTGCAACCAATTCAGTAATGGCCCATTTCAGGCACTGACAGCCGTGTTATGCTGGAATCCATTTTTTGTCTTGCCTAATGTAAATTGGGCAAGAAAGGTGCCTTGAGCAAAGCCATTACATCAAACCAAATTGCATTTGCCATAGTCATAAACTATGACCATGATATTTTGGATTTAAGAGCAGCCATTAAGCCAAAATTAAAACTATTTTCGGGAGAGCAGTTTGGGTTCAAACAGATTACATCCATTTAGCATCCACCCTGCTTCAGTGTCTTTAAACAAGATACTGAATCCAACTTACAGTGATTTACAATAAGTGCATTCAATCATGAGGATCATACAAAACAAGTGGGAAATATTTACAGTATGAATATTGCAACCAATTTCCAATATAACTATTGCTAACTAAATAAAATAGGTTGCAATACTAGAATCACAACAAATAAAAAAATATAAACTTTAAACAAGTTAATTTACTACTTTACTTAATTTAAAAAAGGGTTGAAATACTCACTGGCACAAGGCAGATTTTATCACCTGCTCAAGAAGAAAATAAGATTTTAAGGACTCGATTACAGTCAAAAATTACTTAAAAGATTGTTATTTTCCCAAAGTAAATACAGTTTCAGGGTTTTTTTTTCAGACAATACCAACACACACTTGTACCATTATAATACAGGGCTGTAGGCAATTTAACAGCAAGGCCAATATAAGAATAAATAACATAGGATTAAACAATTTAAATCAAAGCATGACTGTACGAATGTGTGAGGATTTAAGCAAAGTGATTTAAAATGTTATTGTCAACCACAGCTCCTCTTCTTCTTTTATATTTGCTTATCCTGCTGTTTAATTTTCATGTGTTTGTGCTGTATTACATTTCTCATTGCTTTGGCCACAATGCATGTATCTGGGGGCGAAAGCAGAGTTCTTGTATTGACTAAAATTCTGACATGAAAAGGTAATAGACTGAAGGCCAACCTAATTTTCTAAATGCAAGAAAAAAGTTAGGGAAGAAGACAAGAAATAACAGATTTCCTTTAGAGATCAAGTGGTGTACAACAAAAATAAAAAAACAAAGAAATTCAAGAGAAAAGAAGCTGTACAAATAGCCCCTGCTGCCAGGTTGTTTGTACTAAATGATAGTTACTGCTGTACTGGACAGGATACAGATACTGACAACAATCATGCCACTCTGTGTCATTCACTCTCTGGTGGTGTTTTATCACGCTTCCCTGTGCTATTCAGTACTTAAATCGAGCTGAAAGTTTGTTTCTCGCAGCACTGGCACATTACAAGACATTTAAACGACTATTTTTAGGAGTCCAAACAGTCCTGCCATTATTTCTCAGCCATACAATTTACCAGTTGAGCACACCATGCTGCACTTGTTTATGATATTCCAGTTTGTTTCACCCTATTTCCTTTTACATTCCATGTTCTAATGATCTTTTACTTTCACTACACCCCATCACGCTGTTCTACAATGTTCCACTTTGTTTCATTGAGATTCCCACTACACTATTTCGACAGCTTTCTAATTAACACTGCCGTGATAGCTGAGCGACGCTCACAGGTGTTTCAAAACAGCTACTGCGCTCAGTAAAAAGAAAGTGTGACAAACCTTCCCGCAGCTTTAAATTTTAAAGATAGAGCAAACACTCGTATTTTAAAACTAAACCCACAAATTTAGAAGACCGTGATTTTATATTATAGAGCTACATTGTGTTACCTCCACAGAGAGGAAAAGAGTTATTGTAAATATTGATGGACTTTTAACATCGTTACACATTCAAAAAGACACCTGTCTTGCCATATTCATGACCAACAGTGAGAACCTGGACAGTATGTGGGCAGAAGCATCAGGACAAGCTGCTATTTTATCTCCTACTTAAGGGTGTTCTGCAGTGTGTTCTATGTCAAGCTGCTCTATAACATATCATTCTGTTCCATGCTGTGCTGTACCGTACTGTTCCCCCTGCATGTTTGAACGCTTTAAGAAGTTGACATTTGCAGCAAGTCCACTCAGTACCCCAGCACTAGCCTTAAGCCCAAGGCTGTTTCTGTGCGTGTGTGTGGGTGCACACATTGGTGCAGTATGAAAGCAAAGTGCCCTGAGAGGATGGACTTAATAAGGAATGTGACAGCAGCCTGGTCTGACACCTGGTGAGACTAAATGTAGGTACATGAAGGAACACGAAATCACTAGCAACACACAAATCAGCCGATTATCAGTTTCACACATGTCCACATAATGAAACACTGAGCACACAGGCATATGTCTATCATCTTGTATATG